ATCGGAGGGTAAGGTGGGACGGAGGAGAGCCTCGAGACAGCTTTCTAATAATATTGAGGACAGAGGGTTGAGTAAGTCAATCGATACACTGTGATGGTGTAAGACTTTGAATGGATTATTATAATGTACTTGTTGTTTATGGCATTGGGTTTTTATTTTTATTATTTTTGTTTTTTATCACACTCATTGTTATTTTTTAATTATATTAAATTATTATTATTATTTATATATGATGGCATACACAATTTGTTTTTATTAATTATTGTTATTGTTGTTTTGTATTGTGACTACATTATAGTGTCATTTTTAACTGCATCTTTTGTGTGTTTGCAATTTTTTTATTTAAATTTTAAAGTTGATAATTATAACCACACACACAAAAAATATAATGGTGAATGGCAATAGTTTCATGATCAATTCAGTACATGCAATGCTGTATTATAACCAGTTTATAAAATTAATAACAATACAATGTATAAATCAACAAAAATTAAAATAAGAATAAAACTTCTATATTGATTTATATTTATTCATTAGTTTATCAGCTAGTCCAATAGTTCTTCTGGTGTCTTCCTCTCTGAGTATATCTAAGAATATACCAAATACTTCTCCATCCATGCTAATGGAGCTTGAAATGATGTGGAGCAATTCATCCATTCTTTCACCAGCAGTTTGTTTAGTGTAGCCATCAGTTATTCCTCTCTTCTCTCTTGCATTGATAATCTTATGTTCCAACAACTTATCAACCAAGAAGTGAATATTAATTCCACAATTCTTTATCATTGCAATACATTCTGTCATTACTCTATGAGCAATATCAGATCTAAATGTACCTATTAATGATACAAATTCAGTGATTAGTGTGTTATTATGTTAACATCAACTTACTAGCTTTGGGTACTGACGTTGATTCATGTACTAAATCAGAGGTAGAGGAGGAGGTGGTAGTAGGATCTGATTAATATTAAATAAATAAACAATTGAAATGATTTATCTATTACTCGTTAATGAAGGAGCAGTTCTCAGTGATCGGTGAATGAATAATGTCTTAGGATCAGCCACTCCATCCAGTGGTATAGAATAGTGCAATGATGGTACAGCACCAGGTGACCCATATACTGATATTAAACAAGTGGAAGGAAGAGGATAATTAGCTTCACCAAACTTAT